AGGCTGCAGGGCTTGGGAATCCATGCTTATTCGTTTGTTTTTAAAACTAGCCTGTGGCCGGGCGCAGTGGCTCATGCCTGTAATCCCAACACTTTGGGAGGCTGAGGCGGGCGGATCACCTGAGGTTGGGAGTTCGAGATCAGCCTGACTAACACTGAGAAACCCCGTCTCTACTAAATATACAAAATTAGCCACATGTGGTGGCGTATGCCTGTAATCCCAGCTACTCAGGAAGCTGAGGCAGGAGAATTGCTTGAACCTGGGAGGCGGAGGTTGCAGTGAGCAGAGATCACGCCATTGCACTCCAGCCTGGGCAACAAGAGCGAAACTCTGTCTCAAAAAAACAAAACAAAACAAAACTAGGCTGCTCCCTAGGACTAAGCTCAGTGTCAAAGTATATTATTGGAGATGGCAAGTTATTTCTGAGTAATTGCAAAGATTTGACAAATCAGTGCTGCCCCACAGCCCCACTGCTGGTGGCCCCAGGGCTCCCATTCTAAGACAGTTTTCAACAGAAACTTTTCTTCTGTGTCAGTGCTAAATACCCTAAATATGCCCCCCTTTTCTTTCCAAAAAATTAATCCTCTCTCTATCATTGGGATATTTAGCATGGTGGGATTGACCTTTTACTTTTACAGCCTGTATTTTTTTTCTTCAGTCAGGGAGTGTGGTTACTTTAAAGGAGTCTTCTATTTCTTTAAATTGCTTTTTAATTTTAAAAATCAAAATATAGGAACATTTCTATTAGGAAATCAAAGCAAAATGTGTGTCTTATGTTTAAACTCAAAAACAGCCAAAAAGAAAAGCAAGATAAACGTGAAAGTGTTTGCAACACCATGATGATTGCACTGGATTTCCAATCCCTATGCTTTAATACTTCCCTCAATTTTATGATCTCTTTAATATTATTAGTAACAGCTAACATTTATTAAATTCCTATAATGTACCAGTGTGATGGTACTTCTTCTTCACATCAGTCCTTTTGGTATCTGTGGTCAACATTTTACATTTGGCAATAATGAGCCTTAGAATACATGACTCAAATGCGTCACGTTCATTGCTCAGAGTCAAGACTGGAATAGTGTTCTGGCCAACACTGTTACTCCTGTTGCTTTTATTCTTATTCAGAGATCATATTTTTTTCTGTCACTGCTAAATTTGCTTTGCTCTTTAAGAACAGAAAAATGTATCCATGCAGTTTTTTCCCTTATTCCATCTACTGAAGATTGTTCTGTAATGTGTTCTGTAATGTGTAACTGGAGTGGACGCCTAAATAAATCTTCCTTTCAGGTATCTGGTTCTTTATTGAACCCGCCACAGGCTTTTTCTAAAAGAAAAGTCTGACTCCTTGAACTGTGAAATCCAAAATACAAAAGGATGCCAATAAATAAAAGGAAAAAATCTATTTTCCTCTTATACTATGTATTTGTTTACTGACCTTAAATTCACAATTGAACTGATTGACAATTTCTGTGTGTAGGTAGCCACCATTATAGACTTTTCTCCTTGTGGCCTCTTGTATAAAACTGTGAAAAGCACAATTGATAGCTGGAGTTTTGTACAGTTTGGTTGTAGTTCACATCTGGTTAAATTTCACTTTCGCTAAGAATTCTATTTGTTTCTTTCTTTATTCCTGCTCTTTAGAAATAGTTTAATCTAGGCTGCTGGGGTTTTTTTCCTCGAAATTCCTTACACTTTACAAAAATTACAAATAAAACTATAAACCCAGATTTGCTTAATTATGAATTTAGATTAATCAAACAGGTGTATTTATTTGGTAATGACTGGATTACTTTTACTGCTGAAGTATCCAAATGCCTGCTACCTAGGTCACTGGCCTTGGAATAGTAGGAGCACAGATGTGTACACCACAGATGGGAGCCAGAAGGGACTAAAAATATGCAAAATATCCATGTCCCTGGAGGTCTCAAGGATAAAAGGCTTCTCCTTTTCAGCTTGATTCATTGGGACATTAACACAACATTTGCTGTGTCCAAAAATTGACAACTACCATTCTGGCATGAAAATTATATTGTGCAAAAAATTAAACAGTTTCCTATTTTAAATATCTGCTCATTGGAAGTTCTGTACATATCTTTTAACTGTATTCTGCTTTCATGAATCTAAAAGTAAATCAATTATTATAAAGTCATAAGTATATTTATCAGCTAAACTTACGAATTTTTACGTCAATTTCAGATTGTGAAAAATATAAACAAGGTTACAAAGAATAAGTACAATCTCTTGCTCACTGTGGTTCAGGTACATTGTGTTTCTTTCTTTTTCTTCCCAGAACTCACCAAGTGCTTCTTGTTCAGAGTCTTTGGGTTTACTGTTCCATTACTGTTCCCTGTGTCGAGAACGGTCCTCCTCTGGCTCTGGGTGGGGTTGTGGCCTTCATGGTTTAGGTTCCACTCACCTGTCTCCTCTTAAGAGAGACCTTTTCCAACCATCCTATCTAAAGGAGACCCCCCTCAAATCAAGTAACTTTCTGTTATTTTACCTGGATTATTTCATTCATTGTTCTTTTCACGGCCAGCGATTATCTTTACTTGTTTACTCCTGGTCTTTTAGGGTGATAATAAATCATGCCCTCTCTCTGTTCCAAGTCCGGAAAAAAATAAGTTGAATAATACAAAAAAGAATCAGATACAATTCAAAAAGATATTTTATTAATAAGGTCTGTTGAAAAGCATGGTTTATATTTTCAACAAAGTTTCTCTCCAAATTAAAATCACAACCGTTAGCTGACATCCCTCCCCCACCTCCAAATGGGACTGAACATGCTCCCAATACCTTAATCCTAAGCGGATAGAAATGCATGCGGGTGAAACAGAGAACAGAGAAAAGTCATCCTCAGTTTCTCTTTCGTGTTTCACAAATCATATAAATTAGGGGACAGAGAGAGGCAGGTATACTCTAAAACAATTTTATCCAGGGGCATAGAGGTTTCCTTCCCTAAATAGAAATGTGAGGTGTGGAAGAAAAGTACATCACCTTAATATTACTTCTTTATAATCTGCCTCCCTTTCAGAATGTGTTTACATCATTCACAGCTGTGCCTCTAAAGCTTAGAACAGTGGCTGAAACAGATCATGCGCTCAAGGATCATTCCTTAAGGGATGTATGAAATACAAATATAAATTACATAATATTGTCTGCTTATTAAATTAACGGAGACTGTAATTGGTAATGCCTAGTACTGACTATGTGGCAAAGAGACATGATTCTTACACACTGTGGGAGGGAACTGAAATTGATCAAATTTTCTAGATGGAAGCTAAAATAGGGATAAAAACCTTTGAGGTCTCTGTATCTTTAGCATCTGCAATTTCACTTTTAGAATATGTTCTCATAAATAATTATGAATATAGGCAAATTTTAAGTTTAAGAGAACATGTATCTCACTGCCAATAAAAATAAGAAGAACAAAAATTTCCAACAGTAAGAAATTTAATAAATTGTGACAGAATATTGTGTGGCTTTAAAATAATGTCCATTAAATATAATTTCAATACATAAAAAGTATTATATTAAGTGAAAACTGGTAATTTTAAAATACTCAGTATAATGTCCTATTTTAATACAGAAATTTGAGGATCTATGTATTTACTAAAATAAAAAAAATCAGAATTGTTTTTTAAAATTATCCTGTTAGATTTGAACCTTTAGCCTGATTTGAAAATAAAGATAGTCCTCAGGCTGTTTCTGGAATAGATGCGAAGTGCAACAGATCACATGGTTTCTCCACCTGATGACGCCATCCATCCTTCTCATGGCCCTTGGTCTCCCCCTGCTGGCTGGACAGACCCGGAGCCCTCCAGGAAGAGCTCCTTAGAAAAAGCTCACCAGCTGGAACTTTACCTGATCCTATCCCTGTCACCTGCTCAGGATCCATCTGAACAGCAACAGGGCTGCTGGCATGGTCACAGGTGATGGAGAAGAATGCAGTTAGGGGAACCGACAGCAACCCAAGTTGCCATAGCTGGGAATATACTGATGACAAAAGGCTCTGTCACACTAGAAAGTAGGATAAGCTCTGAGAGATGTCAACGTATTAAGTTATAATCGAGAAAAGAGCCCAAGAAAATACAATTACAATACAGCAGTAATCTTTAAATGTAACCACTTAATGTAAATTGGTTTTTCTTTTGAGTTTATTATTTAAAAGACCTCAGAAATGACACCATACTGAGTTATTTTAAAGATATATACATGTATTCATTGTATGTAGCCAAGAATTCTTTCACTCATGCCTAATTTACAATAACAGATGCTGATGAAGAAGTGAGGAAAACTCTGAAAATAAAACTACAAACACCAGATATGGAAAAGAGGCACCTAAAGGAGCTGCTAGGGAATACTGGCCAGCTTCTGAAAAGGAGCATCTTAGAAAGTTTTAAAGAAATTACAAAATTGAAAGTTATTTAGAAGGGATTTCAAATCTGAAATAAGTGGGTAGAAAAGCCTGTAAGGAGGTGAGGGACAGTGAGCAAGTCCATGGCAAACAGAGGGTACCGGTCCCTGCACATCTCAGGCTGAGAAGGCAAGCAGGACGAGCAAGCAAAACCACCTCATATTGCAACATTTCTCATGGTCCTCTCTTCTCAAACTATGTAAAAATCAAGATTTCCCACTGAAAGGGAAGCAAGGATACTTGAGTTCTTCAAAATAACACATGTGTGCATGTGTTATGTAGGGTATATTATAATAGATCCTGTTATGTTATACTTTATTAAATGTTACATACATGTATGCATACACACACAACTATATATACACATATACATGTATGTATTCTTACTATTCCATTGATACAATGTGATATTTTTCTCATTTTTATGAGCACACCTGGTTAGTTTTGGCAACATTATCTGAGAATATATTCTAGAAAATCCATTCAAAGTTTTAGTTTTTAAGTGCCACCTCTGTGCATCTTTGGCCCACAGCCCTGACCTTCCTCTCCTAGTTGAGGATTTCTCTTTCTATGCCATAAGAACATGGAACGCAACCAGACATGGATCACAGACATCACCCTGCTAGGATTCCAGGTTGGTTCAGCACTGGAGATTCTCCTCTGTGGACTTTTCTCTGTCTTCTATACACTCACCCTGCTGGGGAATGGGGTCATCTTTGGGATTATCTGCCTGGACTGTAAGCTTCACACCCCCATGTACTTCTTCCTCTCACACCTGGCCACCATTGACATGTCCTATGCTTCCAACAATGTTCCCAAGATGCTGACAAATCTTGTGAACAAGAAAAGAACCATCTCCTTTTTGCCATGCATAATGCAGACATTCTTGTATTTGGCTTTTGCTCACATAGAGTGCCTGATTTTGGTGGTGATGTCCTATGATCGCTATGTGGCCATCTGCCACCCCCTACGTTACAACGTCCTCATGAGCTGGAGATTGTGCACTGTCCTGGCTGTGGCTTCCTGGGTGTTCAGCTTCCTCCTGGCTCTGGTCCATTTAGTTCTCATCCTGAGGCTGCCCTTCTGCGGGCCTCATGAAATCAACCACTTCTTCTGTGAAATCCTGTCTGTCCTCAAGTTGGCCTGTACTGACACCTGGCTCAACCATGTGGTCATCTTTGCAGCCTGTGTGTTCATCCTGGTGGGGCCGCTCTGCCTCGTGCTGGTCTCCTACTCATGCATCCTGGTGGCCATCCTGAGGATCAGTCTGGGGAGGGCCGCAGAAAGGCCTTCTCCACCTGTTCCTCCCACCTCTGTGTGGTGGGACTCTTCTTTGGCAGTGCCATTGTCATGTACATGGCCCCAAATTCCCGCCATCCTGAAGAGCAGCAGAAAGTTCTTTCCCTGTTTTACAGCCTTTTCAACCCAATGCTGAACCCCCTGATATATAGCCTGAGGAATGCAGATGTCAAGGGAGCCCTGAGAAGGGCACTGAGGAAGGAGAGACTGACGTGAGACATCTCAAAGGGAACCATGGGGAGGGAGCCTTGCTCCCTGCAAAATATGTAAGTTGGCTTTTTTTTTGTCTTCTGCTAGAATAAACACTACCTTAAAACTGAATATTATAGACCTATACATATAAACTGAAGACATAAATCTTTTAGAAAAGATAGGTAAATGCATTTATAATCCTGGATAGGCATAAATTCATGGAGAAGACACAAAAATCTCTAGATGTAAAATGTTTAAGTTTGATAAATATAGGACCTCTTCACATTAATCATTGTGCTCATCAAAGTCGCCATTAAGAAAGAAGAAATGCAAGCCACAAACCAAGTGATCCTCTGGAAACTACATGTACCCAGAAATGGAACTGTTTATACAGAACATAGAAAGAACTCCTTTAAATCAACAATCAAAAATATAAACAACCAAATTTTATAAAATTAGCAAAACATATGAACAGATAATCTTACAGAAAATACAAGTGGCTGAAAAACATACAAATGCTGCTTTCCACCAATAGTAAGCAAGGAATTGTACATCAAAACCACCATGAAATACTATTATATACCCACTAAAATGTCTAAAATTTTTAATGGCTTATTTATCGTTGATGTTACTGGAAATCTATTTCTAATATTGGAAATAGTCGATACTAGCAGAGTTTGTACCAATAGTAGCTAAGTCAGACTGAGTTAATAAGAGTATAGTACACATCCTCAAGATCAATAGTTAGTGACGCTTTCTGTGAAGATACACAGGTTAATGCTTAAGGCTTTGAGGACCATCTTGTGTGTCAAAACAACTCAACTCTGGCAAAAGCAGCCATAGACAACATGTAAACAAATGGGTGTGCCTGTGTTCCAATAAAACTTTATTTATAAAAACAGGTGGCTGCTGGAATGGTGCCCAGGGACAGCAGTTTGTGAACCCTTGTTCTAGATCTTAAAACTAGTGAAGTTCCAGCTGATCCCACTTTAGAGACCCTCACTGGGTGGGGTCTCAAGGGGCGTGTGATTAGACATGTCTTGTGGTGAAATCCCTGTGATCACTTTGTACTTACTTGTGAGGCTTTTCCTCCTTTGACACTTTCTAAAATATGCCATGACTCAATAGCCAGTGGACTGTAAATATTCATGGTTTCTCCATCACACAGGAATTAAGAGCAGGCTCCTCATACTCCATCACTAATTTGAGCCTGAGATCTTAGGATAAAAGTTTGCAGCTCAATATTCTAATTGGAGCACAGCAGTTCAATGAAAACAAGAACAAAGATATCTTGTACAGATTAATTTTTAAGAGTGGATTTAACAAGATCTTAGATTTTTAATTGTTTTCTTTTATATTTATCAGCCATATAATTAAAAGCATCTTATATCTTGATATTGAAAAAGCCCTAGTTTTAATTATATATTCAGAGAGCTATTCTCATCTTATCCTGGAATACCCAGAAATGTAATTCTTAACCCTAAGCTGATAGCTGATAATAATTTTGCCTGGAAGAGAACATAGAAGGAAAAATTACTAATATCAAAACCTCAGGATATGTTAGAGTTATTTTTGAGATGGAGTCTTGCTCTGTCACCAGGCTGGAATGCAGTGGCATGATCTTGGCTCACTGCAAACTCTGCCTCCTGGGTTCAAGTGATTCTCCTGCTTCAGCCTCCCAAGTAGCTGGGATTATAGGTGCCCATCAGCACACCCAGCTAATTTTTGTATTTTCACTAGAGATGGGGTTTCACCATGTTAGCTGGGATGGACTCCATCTCCTGACCTCGTGACCCACCTGCCTCAGCCTCCCAAAGTGCTAGGATTACAGGCATGAGCCACTGAGCCCAGCCTGGAGCTCTTATACTATAGAAATCTTTACCATGTAAAGAAGAGAATCACATAGACTGATAGGGCAGGGATTTCTAAAGCTGAACATTACTCTGATATTCAGAGCACAAGTTATCTTACTTTCACTAATCTCAGAAAGTATTACCCTATCTTGCTTCCTTTTAATTCCTGAAATTTAAAGTGTTGTATACTAATGTATTATTGTTTCCATTTTTTTTCTTGGTGCTCCTCAGCCAATTTTAAAATCAACTTGCCCATTTCTAGCCCTCACACAACAGCATATGAATTTCCTCTCAGTGTCTACCATCCCTTATGTCAAAATATTTCACTGATAGAATTCTCTGTGACATTTGATTCGACAACAAAAAGAATGGTGACTGTCCCACAAGATGAGAAAAGCTTTTAGGGGAAATAGATGCCTACCTAGGCATCCTGGGATAAGCTGAATTCACTTTAAGAGGGGGAGAAATGTTAACTAGAATAAGCAAAAAAGAGAGAATTCTCTTACATGAGGAAGGCAAAGGAGTGAACTCAACCTAGAAACGTAATGAAGCTTAGGTGGAATGGGTTATACAGACTCAGCAAATAACGCAGGATACTGCTAGGACTCACTGTTACAGGAGGGGTTTGTGCCCTGACCCAACAGGACTTACTGGCTGGTTTTTTGTTTGTTTGTTTTGGTTTGTTTGCTTGTGTGTTTGTTTGTTTGTTTGTTTGTTGAGACAGGGTCTTGCTCTGCCACCTGTCAAGGCTGGACTGCAATGGCATGAAGTTGGTTCACTGCAACATCTGCCTCCCAGGTTCAAGTGATTCTCCTGCCTCAGCCTCCTGAGCAGATGGGACTACAGGCGTGCACCACCACCCCCAGCAAATTTTTATATTTTTAGTAGAGATGGGGTTTTGCCACATTGCCCAGGCTAGTCTCGAACTCCTGAACTAAATTGATCCACCCGCCCCAGCCCCCCAAAGTGCAGGGATTACAGGCGTGAGCCACTGCACACAGCCCCTGTTGGCTGTTGTGATGCAGACAGAAGCAAAAGCAACCCTGGCACAATGGCCTTCCATTCTACCTGCATAGGCACAAGGGGATCACTGAAGGGAACCTTGTAGACCTTATAACTTATTGAAATTGTCTGGGGCACTGAAAATTTTCACTGGTGGACTATGACTGCCTTCACCCCAAGAATAGATCTGAATAAGATGTGAGCTGTAGTACAATTAGGAGCTCTGAGAACCATTCTGAAAACACCATGCCCTCACCTGAGGACAGAGGTGGGCCCTGCTATATAACAGCACACAGTAGAAACTAGTTTCAGTGGAAAGCCTTTAATCCCAGATAGGGTGACTTAATTTATCCCTAACAGATTTAGAACCCAGAAATAACCAAATCATGTCTAATGGTAATGATACTTGTCTACAATATATTGGAGGAAGCAGCCCCCAATATTTCATCATAGGTTCTTTTCTATTTTCCCTAAGTGTCAGCCAGTCTGAGAAATAAAGAGAAAGAGTACAAAAGAAAGAAATTTTACAGCTGGGTCTCTGGGGGTGACATCACATGTCAGCAGGTTCCATGATGCCCCTTGAGCTGCAAAACCAACAAATTTTTATTATGGATTTCAAAAGGGGAGGGGTATATGAATAGTGTGTGGGTCACAGAGATCACATGCTTCAAGGGCAATAAAATATCACAAGGCAAATGGGCAGGGCAAGGTCACAAGGCCAGGGCAAAATTAGAATTACTGATGAGGTTCCCTGTCCCACTGTGCATGCATTGTCATTGATAAACATCTTAACAGGAAACGGGGTTCAAGAGCAGAGAACCAGTCTGACTAGAATTTCGCCAGGCTGGAATTTCCCAATCCTAACAAGCCTGGGGGCACTGCAGGAGACCAGGTCGTATTTCATCCCTTATCTACAGCTGCATAAGACAGGCACTCCCAGAGTGGCCATTTTAGAGGCCTCACCTGGGAATGCATTCTTTTCCCAGGGCTGTTCCTTCCTGAGAAAAAGAATTCAGCGATATTTCTCTTATTTGCTTTTGCAAGAAGAGAAATATGACTCTGTTCTGCCCGGCCCTGCAGGCAATTAGACTTTACGGTTATCTCCCTTGTTCCCTGAAAATCGCTGTTATTCTGTTCCTTTTCTAGGTGCCCAGATTTCATGTTGTTCAAACACACATGCTCTACAATTTGTGCAGATAACGCAATCATTACAGGATCTTGAGGCGACATACAACCTCAGCTTAAGAAGATGATGGGATTAAGAGATTAAAGTAAAGATGGGAATAGGAAATTATAAGAGTATTGATTGGGGAAGTGATAAATGTCCATGAAATATTCACAATTTATGTTCAAAGATTGCAGTAAAGAGAGGTGTAAGAAATTATAAAAGTATTAATTTGGGGAACTAATACATGTCCATGAAATCTTCACAATTTATGTTCTTCTGCTGTGGCTTCAGCCAGTCCCTCCGTTCAGGGTCCCTGACTTCCCACAAAAATAATAATCATCCGGTGTATGAGCATGGGCCACATCTGTTAGAAAGGGATAGCAAATACTACTCTTAATTCTTACTGATTTATTCTGGAATGAAACTGCTTATACCATGATCACACTGCAGTATAACATTGGCATTGTTGGTAACATTCAACTATTTTATGTAAATAACTCATATGTCAATATTGAAACATGATGAAATATATTGTAAAATAGGGTTCAAACTTCCTCAGAATGTGATACCAATGGAAAAGGATGGCCTTGTGGAAGAACTTAATTTAACTAACCATCAGCTAATATCTATGCTAAATTGTTCTGCATAAGGTTATCACAGGGTGCAAATAAAGGGAGGAAGCAGGTAATCAGATTAGTGCAAAAACATGAAAATGTATGTATACGTCACGACTTTATAGGATGGATTAGCTGTTTTCTTAGGTCTATCCCTACCCCACACTGAATCACAGATATTAGGCATAGTTATGCTGACACTATTGCTGTACCTGTTATGTAAATGCTTTTCTAAATATAGACACTCTGAAAAGTATGATCATTCTGGTAAGAAAGCCTAAGCCAAGTGCCAGGTAAGTGAACTGTACAAGAAAGGGTTAACTCAGTTAAATTTATATAAACTCATATAAAACTTTAAAATATTCTAATCCTATCACTTAGAGTAAG